CCCGCCCCGACGGCTCCCGCCGCAGCCCAGAACCAAGGAATCCTTCCCAATCCTTGTCCCAGCCTCCCCGTGAGAAACCCAACCTGCTGCTCCAAGTCTTCCCTACTCTTCATACAAACTCTTCCTTTTTTCTTGAGTCGTGGATTGCTGTTTGGTTTCTTGGGATTTTGATTTTTTAAACGAACATGAGAAGACTCGTGTCGTCTCCATAAAGTACAGGTTTGCACCTGCCACAACGTATCTGCCCATCCATGCAAACGGAATTACTATCCCACCTAATGCCAGAGCTTTGATGTTGGCTGGGAAATCGGTGTGGCAGATGCCAGTAATGCATCCCGGTGTCCTGCTGCCCCTGAGGGATGCAGCGCTGAGCCTGTACCAGAGCTAAGTGCTCATTCACTATAACCAAATCAGTTTATTTCAGAGCAGCTTGAAAGCAGCATTTGGTTACATCTCAGCCCTGCAAACAGAAAAACCACCTCTTAAAATGCAGCAATGTGCTTTCCCCCTGCAATGTTTGTGACGGCAGTCAACATTTCCAGACCAGCCCTTTACAGCAGACATCCTGCTGACAGCCTATTTGTAACGCAGGCTCTTTGGACCGTCATGATGAAGAAACATAGATTGTTACCATACTTTTTACCAGCAAAAAATATGCATGAGTTCAACATCAATTCATCACAGCTGAGCTTGAAGGCTCACTCTTCAAAGAATCTTTATAACCATTCCTGAAGACAGGTGGAAAGTCATTTAAGCATCAGCTGCCACATTCCGGGGGATGCTTTTCCCTACCTGCCCGCACAGACAGGCAGCTCAGACAAGCCTCTGCTGCTCAGGCACTACGATGCAACACTCCACTTTATTTTCTGCTGAACTCTGGCAGCACAAACACCTTTTACCAGCGAAGGGACTTCACCCAAGAGCACTGCTGTTTTCAGTCTTGTGAAGCTGCTGTCACAGGCTCAAGGCAGTAATGTCTCCCTGTTTTAAAATTCACTCAGGAAAAAAAGAAATCTGAGAAGTTTGTGGAGAGTTTAGGAACTCTCTGATGATGCTTACACAATGTTTTACTCCTCTTGTCATTTCGGTCTCTGTCATATACAGAGCAGACAGCATATCACTGAAGTCTAAAGTGCCATTACTGGCTTCACTCACAGTAGATTTGAGGTCCTGGATAATTCTTTTAATGAGGTTTAAATACAACTGCTAGAAGCAGGATGTATTTTTGTTTGGAAAGAGTAATAACTGGCTCCACAACCTTTGAAAAATGTATCTAGAACTGTTTGTAGGAATATATATTTATCTTAGTATCAATAGAGATTACAGGGCTGAGATAATTACTTCAATTATCTTCTTTTAAATCCACTAAGAGCCAAACAGATTGCCTTAGAAACCAGAGGGTCCACCTGTTACCTTTGAGTAAAGGCTGAGACACATTCATTTACAACTTAAAAGTATCAGGATAGGATTCTCACCACTGAGTTTCAACAAACTGAGCTGCACTTGACAAAATAACCTCCAGCAGTTCTTCTCTTTGAAGCAAGGGTAACAGACTGCCCACCACTGCACTGGGCAGTATCTGGCAGCATGTCAGCTCCCAAACAGGATAGCAGAACAGTTGCTGACATCAAGTTTGAAAAGCAACCATTTTCTTCCCCATCTATGACTATTCTCATGGCTTCTCTGCCCTTTCCAAAAAGATCCAAGCCTCCCCCAATCTACTAGAAAATAAACAAAGGGACATAATTGCTCTTTTAATTCAGACATAATCAGTACCACAGCATTTTCATTCCTGGGTATAAGCAGTGGGAAAGATACCTCAGACTGGCAGTGAGGAATGCATATGCTAAATAGGTACTAGAAAAGACATGAAGATGCCAAAATTGAGTTTTCAGCTAAAGCTGGGGTAAGATGTGACACCAGGCATCTGGAAGTTGTCTGTATGGATAAACTGTTTTCAGAATTAGACAAAATCAAATAAGGAAAAAATTGAAAAAAGTTCTAGAGACAATAGATTTTGCATTACTGAGGGAATAAAGTAATTTTATCCCTACAGACTAATTCCAAATCATGTTTTGCAACCATCTATTGAAAAGGCCATCTGGCAGCACTGTGGGTCCCCAACCAAAACATCTCTCAGCTTTGAGGTGCACTGCACTGGATCCTGACATTCATTTTTTGTCCACACTGAAGATCTTCTCATAGGCTAGCTTCAAGGGTTAATTTCAGAAAGTTTTTCACTGAAGTGGGAAAGCAAAATGTCACTGACACAAAGGATTTTAAACATTTCTCCATGAACTTAATAGTTCTGGCATTTTCAGAGAGAGGATCAGATGTTAGTTAGCACAGTGAACTCAGCCCAAGGAAACAGCAATGGCAAATCATGGTGACTGATGTAATTTCAAAGCCAAGCTTCCTTTGATGCAGAGGAGAGCATTTTTCTGGAGGGAGTAAGGGAAAAATTACCAACATGAAATGGAAAAAACTCTACACCAACCACCAGAATGATAGGCCAAAGTACTGTAAAACTCCATGTGCAGGCATCAAACAGAATCTTCCCCCTCATTTCAGCACTTTAAATGTCAATTCAAAATTCCCAAGTAAAGCCTAGAGCAATATGCAGAACCCCCAAGACACAGCACTGAGCCTCTTACTGGGAAACAGCAAGAGCTAGGCCTAAATACACAAGGGCAAACTCAGCATTTTCACAGGCTCTAAGAAAGGAGAACTGCACTAGAGTACATGTCTAGTTCAAATAGTATCATTGGAGCGAAGCCACTCAAGTCATGATTCTTAAAATAACTAAACAAATGTAGCCAAACTGTCATTATGAACTGACAAGAGCTGAAGCAGCTACACCTGCTAGCAGGGACACGTGTTGTTGGACTTAGTTTGAAGCAAGAGGTGGCTCCCAACAGGAGCAGAAAAACAACAGAATATTTTAATCAACATTTTCACACATTAAGCATTTCTCTAAAATGCCAAAATTTTCAAGTGAGCATCACATCCCTGGCTGGATTTACTGCTCCAGGAGAGCAGTCAAAGTCATACTAAGCATATAAGAAACCTTCACAAAGGTGAACATTCAATATCTTAACCAGACACTTTGTCCCAACATGCTATATTCAAATGTGTATTTCAAGGTGTGGTAAAGCTAAAAGAATGAAATTAATAGTCTTGAGTGAAGACCTTTTCAGGAGATTATTTGGTTTTCCTCCTGACACATCTTAAACTAATACACCAGGAAACAGAACACTGAAGTCACCTCCTTCCAAGCCCACCAAAACAGCAAAAATACTTGAGTTCCTTGAAGTCAGGTATTTTCTGCTTTCAAACTAACAGGATTTTTACAACAAATCCTTCTAAGTGAGAGTAGATTTCACAAAGCCTTATATTTCTGAGTGGGCTTCTGAACTGTCAGTGCTGGTTATTATTAGTAGGCACAGAAATTCCCATTTTAATTAGAAACTTTATTTTGAAATACATTACACAGTTTACATGTGAAGTGCTTTCAATGTAATATATTTCATAACATTGTGCTGAGCAAAATGGCTGACCAGTTTCCTCGAAGCTCTTCCAGTTATGCTGCTTTTTCATTAAAACTATCTTACAGAACTAAGATGCAACTTAGGCATTTGTACTCAGGTGCTAATTACTACGTTTACCTTAGGGAGAAAGTATATACTTAACTGTTCCAATTAACTATGTGTTTCAATAATGATGTTAAGCATTTGGCATAAGACTGAAAGAAACCCGAGCCCTAATTAAACTCGTATTCACCAAAGATTTTGAAAGAAAAAAAATCTTCATGATCAAACTACTTTGTTTATAAGGCACAGTCAGACAAGTATTTATATATAAAGACTGGCTACCAACTGTGTTTTACCTGCACAGCCTTCCTTCTGGTCTGTCAAAAGTGATCTGAAAGTTGTTTTCCCTGTCTGCTGCTGAGACATTTCAAGAACAAGGCAGAGCAATAAGGCAACTAAAGGAACAGGCAAGCAAAGAGGTTTGGCGTTTGGGATGGATGCTGAACATCTGCAAAGTAGTTCATTTTGTAAATGGAGCCTTCCCCCTGCTGTTACCAAAGTGGTGGCCAGCTGTGAGAAAGGAAAACAGAAGTGGTGGAAGCAGAGGGTATTTTTACAGGAATAAACAAGATGTCTGGTATGCTTTTAGCTAACACTAAGATGCAGCAATTCCCACAACTTTCAGAGATAATCTGAATTGAATTATGGAATTCCCCTCTGCCACTCGGAAAAGCTGAATGTACCAGGATGGTTCTTGACAGCAGGTGAAATATCAGGGAATGAAACCTCCATTTAGATAATGAGCCAATACTGCCATCCTACTTTGCATCTCTTATTAGAACGAAAGGAACTCTTTGGGAATGACAACTGAAATAATTACATCATTATTTTGGGTAGAAGAAAGTTCATGAACTCATAAGATGCGATGGGAAAAAAACAACATGAAAAGAAAAGCCTTACCTTCCTTTCCCTCCCAAATAAATCTTTGAGGAATAATTGCTTGAGCTTAGCACTTTATGGCTTCTGTGGCCTATGAATGCCAGATAGATACTCTAACAATTATAATTTTCAAGCTACTGTTTGTTTTCAATTTTAAGTAATTTCAAATAAAAATACTGCATCTATTTTACTTTAATAATCAAACTGAGCATAAAAATCATTAAAAGTGTATTTCTGATACACATTTGTATCACATACTAAAAGATACTATTTTATAGATAATTGTAAAACAAAAAGAATTAGGCTATACAAAAAGGTTTTAAAATTCTTTTGCACAACTGAACTCATAGTGCAGGTTTAAGATTTTTAAAAAAATCTGTAAATGAAGTCGTCAACAAATGTTGAATACAAAATACATTCTAAAGTATTTTACAGAATGGCTGAATTATCAAGCATAAGAACTGAGGATAAAGAATGTTAATGACAAGCAGCCACATACAGAACACAAAGCAATAAGTTTAAATCAGACTATTTTGGTTTGTGTAGCCCTTTATTAGCAACTAAAATAGAAGATATCTGTTGTACATCACGGGTAGTAACTGACTATACTGGAGTTTTATTATATTCTAATACAGGATCATTTATAAATGCGTTGTTTTCCTTTTTTTCTTTTATTAAAAAGCTTCCACCCCCTTTTTCCGTTTATAACTTGCAAAACTATTCTGAAAGCTGAGTACATGTGCACAGGTCTGCAAAGAGTGCAAATTTAGGATATGGTAAATGCTTTACATGTTGTATTTGTAAGGACAGTCTACCACCATACCTTCAAAGCCATTTTATCTTCTCCAAAAAAACAAAAAACTCACAAAAAGTTCTGATACCAGCCTTCCTTCCAGTGTCCTAAACAAGAAAGCATTTTAAAATGAGTTGAAACTAAGGAAGGACTACACCTACTAGAAAAGAAGAGAGTTCTATTAGTTTGAGGTTTCAGTATACCCAAAGACCAGGGACTGTATCTTTGTAAGGGCTAGGCTGGGACCCCATATAGAGTGTGTGCAGGTGCCATCCCTGAGCATTCAGCAGTTCAGTGGACCATAAGTGCTCCAGCTGCATAACTCACTGAGCTGTCTTGCCAGTTTCGACACTGGCTTGACTGAGCATAATTCAAAAATGAAAAGCTCATATTCATTCCATTCTTCTGGAGCTCGTTGATAGCCTGAAGAGAGAAAAAAGGCCATTAAAAGAAAAAAAGGTATCAGTGAAATTAGAGCATTTTTCAGTTCTCAGTCCTCTCCCCCATCCTGGAGGAACGGGCACACTCTCTCAAACTCATAATATAAACACCTCCCAGTAATCTGTGGACCTAACCCATTTCTGTGCCGTTTCATTCACTGACACTCCCCGCACTGCACTATGTACAATCCATGCAGATCTCTAAAGCAATACTGAATAACCTTTAATGATAGATCCTTTAGAAACAATTATTTCAGAACCATGGAGAATTTATACAGAAACACAGGTGTAACACAAAACACCTCAATGCTATTAACGCTTTTTAGATTGTGTTTCTTCCATTAAGGAAGAAGGTACAAGGGTAATTTATTAAAGCATGACAATTGGCAAAAGTGAATGAACAGAATTTAGCTCTGATTCACTGCAAAGCTAATCGTTATCTGAGGGTAAGAGTTGGGTATATTTGCAGAGTTGTCATAGTACTGAATTTTGCTACATGTGTCCTCAATATTGATACTGCTCATACAAACTTTTTTGGACTTTACTTTAAAAGGTTCCTCTGTATGTTCTCCATACAGACTACATTCCCACTGAATTATGTTTTCCCTTTCAAAAAAGTTAACATGCTTTCTGTTTCAAGATCTGAATTACAGTAAAAATACAGTGAGATTCACTCAAGCAATATGACAAATCTGCAGCACTCCAGCAGTGCTGTAAAGTAGCTGTGACCAAATTCAGACAACTAAGTTAAGCCAGGTTTATGACTGCACTGCATCACCGAAGCAGAATACAGTAACTAGGAAGTACCAGTTAATCTGAATTCTAATTGCTGTTAATTTATGAGTTAATGGTGCACTGCACTAATACTTACAGAGGCAAATCTCTCACCATATTTGCAAAACCCAAAAACGCTGCAGACATCACAAGGCACTCACAATAGCTAGCTAACAGCAATACAGAAAAAATATATATGTGTTTGTAAGTACTGATTCAAGAGAGTAAGTACCTACTTCTTTAGGGAGATGGATTTACTCATTTATCTGTTTAGGGCCAAGAGAAAGTCAATGACTGTATTTCATTGAAATTCAAAAGGAATGTGGTACCTCATCTCCCTTAGGGATCTGAAAACCCTCAGCCCTTTTAAGACCTTATATTTCTCTATATGCAAGACACAGAAATGGGAGACCAAATTGAGAACACTTGGAAAAAACTTAATTCAAGGCTTGCCATTTTAGAACTGAGAAATACTGCAGCAATATTGCATTTAAAACAAATGTAAGCATTTTTCTAGAAGTTACGTTTTTCAACAAATCCAAAGTTACTTACATTTAGTAACACTCCAATAGGATGTCTTCCACATATTGTATTATGGTATTTCTTCAAGTAATTGCTAAAAGATACAGGATCTAGCTGCTCTATAATGCTCATACCCTGAAAAAGAATCAAGAGCAATAATTACGTCACACACTCACACACAGGTGCTTTTACATCACCTATTTATTACAACAGAGAATACATCAGGAGGAAAACCCTTCTACTTCACATCAAGCATATCAGGGGAATCTCAGCATGTGAGCTCTAGCTTGTAGTCATCTTGTTTCCATCCCTTGCCAAACTAAATGTGCAGGAGCTCTTCCAAAGCTGTCAATGATCCAGATCTGTGAAGCTATCTTTGCAAATACCAGTGAAGCTCATGCTAAAAAAGCTCCTCCTGCAGACTAGCTGATCCCCACTCTCCAAGGGTGCTCTACTTCCATGGGATTTGGTACAGCTATAACCAGACAAATTTACTAAAAGTGCAAAGCAGGAAGAAATTGTGTCTCTATCTTCTTTCCCTGGTAAGAGAGCTCAGGGCAAAGCACTTCCCTGGGACGTCTGGATATCCAAAACCCCTAGATAAACCACCACTATACACACATGCAATTCATCACATAGCAAGTGTAATATATCCTGGACACATCAAGCATGCAAGGCAGTTGATCGGTGCAGGGGCTAGCTCAGAGCACAAAAAGCAGATCCAGAACATCTCTAAAGCACTATAAAGTTGGTGCACAACAAAAATATTAGAGCCAAGAGATGATGCTTCCACTTTACATGAGACAGTCAGATATATACATCCTTTTCTCCATCCACAGGGAGACCCATGATCCTATGGAGTCATACTAAGAACACCAGCACGTGTGGAAAACAAAACCTTCCACGTATACAAACATTTGCATTCTTAAAAGCAAAAAGAATCCCATGGCTCCAGATACAGTCTACTCTTACCCCATCCCACAGAGCAGATCAAACACAATGGAAGTAATTTGAAGCAAGTCTAAATCAATTACTGTGTGGGTTTCATCATGGCTTTGCTATTCTGTTTGTATCAAACTCCATCCTCTTCCATTTTTCCTTCCTCTGAAAACGATGAACTCCCTTCACCAGTTAAATGAGCTCCAGACACTCACTAATTCAGTAATACACATAATTATGCTTCTTCTGCTGGTGAGGCATTAAGGTTTTCCTTAGAGACTGGAAAAAACACTTTGCAGGAGAACAATGGGAGGTTGACACCAGAAAGGGAGATCATTTCTCTAAGCTTTCTGCAATCGTCCCAGCCCCTTCCCCTGTTTTGGGAAGAAATGGGTGATAAAAGGAGAAACCAATGCAGGAAGCAGTCAGTCTGTAGTCTCCACCTCAGGCGTGAAACCTCTTGAACACTCGGCAAGGCTGTTTGGCTGATCTGGCAGATATGCTAATGATTCAGACTGGATCACAGCTTACAATGGAGAAGCTGCAGATTCCCAGGAGAGTCAGGGAGGATTATAAAACAGCAACCATAACCATCACCTTTGTGTACTTTTAAATAGAAACAGACATAAGATGGATTCATAAAGAAATAGATTTTATGGAAAAATAAACCAAATTATGCTGACCAATTGCCAGAAAGAACTCAGTTCTTCTGAAGTCAGGGAGAGGGTGTTTGGAGCCCTTGCTGGCAATTACAGCTGCTAATCCCTCCCAGATCTACAGAACCTACATGAGTGCCAAGAAAACAGTGGTCGCTATTCTCTAACTAGCAATGATTACATAGATGCCACTGCATTTCTAAAGTTTACAAAGCATGTCTTTGAACAATCCATTTACTTGTAAATTGCATGTGTATACAGCTAAAGAGAGCAGAACCAAACTTGACTACACACTCAAGTGAAACTAAACATGCATAAGGCATTTAAGTTGGATACTGAACAGTTCATGAGAACGTATTTTATCCATTTGCAAACCCTTTCACAAACTTAAAAAAATAAAAATGGCTGCTCAATTGAGAGACTTGTTTTATAGATGTAAGTCACTGGAACATACTGGGCAGAGGCATTTGAGCATTTGTCTCAAATGAATGGACGTGGATTGATAAGAATGCCTAGTAAGCTTATTTCAATGCACAGTTCAGCACTGCAAAACATTTAGAGCTATGCAGTTCATCCCAGAAAATGCTAACAGAGCTCTACACAGACTGGACAAAATCCATAGGAAATGGGTAGGAACATATATCCTGTAAGCATTTGGTTGAACTGAACTTCTCAAGCTTTTGGATTTACAAATTCCTGTGGCAGAGGAGCAAAGACTACCAAGTTTGCTTCTCAGTCAAAAATGGTGTTGAGGAACAAAGGAAACATTTTTGTCAGGTTGTGTTTTGTTTTTCTAAAAAGCACAAGTGTGAAGCTAATAATTTGCAGTATTCGGAACAACTCAGCCAGGCATGGTTTAGAACAGAGCTAAAATACACGACAAAAGCCGCATGATAAAAATGCAAACACAGTTCTGCAGTTTATCACATGGTTATTATGGCATCACACAGAAACTGCATATCTCGGTTACCCAGACACTGTTAACGGCATCTACAACATCCTAGCACAGTTTACTTAGTATGATTGAAAGCAGTTACATTCTTCAATATCATCCCTATGGGATCAAGTATCTACAAGCTCATCTAGAAACACCACCACCAAAACAAAACAAAAAGCCTCCAAAACCCTATAGGATGATTTTATACTATACTCCAATGATCCTTTGGCTGGTCAAGTTAAAGTTTGCTATCAGTTACTTCAGCTGCTTCTTCACACTTAAAAATCCAAACTAGTAGCACTCTAATGGAAGTGGAAACAAACCCAGCCTTAGTACCAGTCAGCCCAACTATCTTTGCATGTGTGAGTCAGACTAGAAGATAAACAGCCAACAGGAAAATTACTGGCTGGGCACACACAGCGGAGAGAGCAGGGAGCTGGGCACCCAGGCAGGGAGTCATGGTCTTGCATTATGCCCAGGATGAGAAGTCTTCCCAGGCTGGAGCACTGTGGAAGGTCCTAGCACACTGCAGCATCACTGCAGAAGACACCAGAATTCAGCATTTCAACAGAGCCACCTGAGAAGCCACTCCAGTGCTGAGCATGGCTCCTGCACAACAACTGTTGGCTGTTCCTGCACAGATCTCCTGATTTCCTCCCATCAGCATTCAGGGGAACAGAATCTTCCCATTGACTCAAGTGAGGCATAAGGTTTCCCATATGAAATATATGCTCATCTAAAATGAGCAGCCTGGCAGTGAAGATTCAAGCAAGCAGTCTGCATTTTCTGGCTAGTCACAATTAAGAAGCAATTACTCTTCAACAATGCCTTACAAAACACTCCCTCGTTTTTATTTAAAAAGATGGTAGTTATCAGGTTATCATATACAAACTATTGCACATCAGCTGCTCAATTATAACACTTCATTTGAGGAGGTATCCCTATTGGTACACTATTCCAAGGTATCCCTATTAACTATGAGGCTCTTTACTCCTTTTGCCATCACTTCACAAAGTGCACTGTGGCGCCCTCAAGGTGACAGTGGACACATCAACAGTTACCATGGAGAAACTGATGTCTGCCCAGTCATATTTACTACTCTGCATTTTTTTGTGCTCTTACTTAAAATCACAGCAAATAAAATTTCTCACCATGGTTGCCAGGTTAGTAAAACTTCAATGCCCAAAGCATTCAGTGGTTTTTATGCACTAGGTGGGAAAATCATCGTGCATCTATACTTAAGGTCCAGTCTAAAGGAAGACACCATCATCCTCCCACAAGGGCATTTCTAAGGCAAAGTAATTTCATCTTACCCTCAAATACCTGCCTGCTTACAGAGCACTCAGCACACTGCTTTCCTAGTTAGGTCCAAATGAAATTACAGAGCCAGTTTTAGTGCAGTTTTGTCTCTACCTTAATGCTATTTTCTTTGTGGAGAGGCCTACTGGTTACAACAATGCAAGTTTCTTTAGCACACCAAACGACATGAAAAAATCCAATACTTATCTAAGGAAACAAGAAGTAGCCAACTGGGGCATAACAAAATTGAATCAACTCCTTCCAAAGACTGGAGAAGTCTGACAGGAATATCTTTATTATATTGTAGATAGCATCCCAAGTGTACTCACAATATCGCTAAAAAGACATCTCTGAAATTCACTGAAAGCAAACCCTACTTTGTACAGTTTGAATATGGAGTCCTGTGTTCACATATGGCATGATTTAAACAGGCAAAAAATAACCACAGTATACTGCTACACAGCATGTGGAGTTTTCCACTTACATTTAAGGCTGAGAAACTATTTTCATAATTATTAAATGGGAGACACGATTTACCATGTTACAAAAAACGTCATTTCCTTTTGGCTCAGTAACTGCCAAAAGAAAAAGTTGGTGCAATGTATTCCCTAAAAGTAATTAAATGCCAAAGTCCAGTCTGTCTTCAGGCTTTCACCACAGAAATTAACAAGGGGAAACTAACGTTTGCTAATACACCATAATCTGCGAAAACACACTCAGGGCTGCAAATTCTGGGACTCTGTAGAAAAACACTTCTCTTGATAAGGAAACCTCTCAACTGAGTACAAGAATAATTAAAAATGGGATAAACAGGATGAAGGCAAATTATTTACTGTTTCTATTCCAGTGACGAATAGTGGAAAACCAAAGAGGTTAATACGGCTGCACAAAGCAAACAATTCCAGAGATGGCTCCAGCAGGTAGAATTAATTCTTTCAAGGCAAGTGAAAAAAATAACTTGCCCTGAATAACAACAGTTCTTTCTTCTAACAGATTCTACATAAGTTACATAAATGATGCTAACAGTTGTAAAACAAATTTTAAGCGTATGTATGTCCAGAAGCATTACTTCTATTCTGTGCCTTAAGTATAGTCCTGAACACAAATATTTTTTTCTTTTTTTTTAAAAAAGAAATCCTTGGCTCCTGCAACGGTAAAGAAAATGCAACATAGTTGGCATCATGACCTTTATGTAGTTAGCATTCGTTTCAGCCTTTTGCCAAATCCAGGATGAAGTATGGTCTACTGCTTTTTCCCATCACCTACTACAGAGTAGGGGGCAGGAGGAAGACTACTCCTGAGGAAATGGTGACTTTACATTTCCCTGAGCAGCACAATCCCCTACAGCCTTTCCTCCTCAAAATGGATGTTGCTGAAACCAGTAGCACAACCACGATGCTCTTCCTAAATGCAGGTATCACAACTATCAAACCTAAACTCCCACAATGTTCCATGCATAATTCTTATTGCAACCTGAAAACATAAGAGGGTACGTGGACAGGAATTATGTTACACCAGGGCACTTTCAGTAGGTGAACATGCATCTATTCTCACAAATTATGCCTACTAGATTATACCAGCAATATATTGTGTGCAGGCAGGGAAATGGAGGATCCTAGCTAAAAACAGCACTGAAGTTCTTATTGTGGTAAACAAAGGAAAATGATACATTCAATAACACAGCTGATCTGCATTTTGTTAAGAGAAATACCTAAACTATTCAAAGAAATGTAACGTACAGGAGAAATTTGTTAGTTAGTTCCACCAAATCTGAAAACTTACCATTTTATCTAGGTGCTCAATGGATCTATAAATTTCTCCTTGGGATTCATCATAGTAACTGTAACGGAACCTCTGACCTTGAAACAAAAATCATGTATAAAATAAAAAAGGGAAAAATTGTAGCTAACACACTCCCTAGCACTTGCTAAATATTTGAAATTATAATATTTATAAAGTAGTAATCAATCAATTTATTTGTAATTTCTAGCTCCACTGAGAAAATTCTAGGCCAATCATCAAGCAGCAGCCCAGAAGCAAAGACAAAAAAAACCCACAATGGGTGGCAATATTCCTAAAGAAAAACCTACTATGTAGAACTGACACTGCAGTATGATTTACTGGTTGCCTGTCATTGCCTTGGAATCCAATTCTACAAATTAGAAAGCAAAGCAACATTTCATTTAGCTATCCCTTGTGACATCAAGTCAACCATGGAGTCTGGCTACTTCTGCTTGCACAACAATATCCACAGTAAATGAAGGTTAAAAGAAAAAATTCATGACAGTTCAATGAACAGTTCTAGATGGTTCATTAGCTACAACAGGACCCAGGTCATTGTTATATGTATTTCCACCTACTCCACAAAGGCAAGTAAAATATGCACTTAATTACGTAAGTTAAGCAAAGATGACAATGAAAAACAGCAAGAAGGTCTGTTGTGTAACATATCTTCCTGAAGCAGTCCCTTTTGCAGCTACTATCACACTTAAAAGAAAAAATCAAGTTTCAAAGCAGGACAGAAGTCAAGGCTTCTGGAGTCTTTATAGCTCTGCCAGCAAGATGAACTGGGATAGCTCTGGTGAATTGGCATAAATACTCCATCTGCTATTTTACCCAGCAGTAAAACATATAAAATTCATTTCTGTCAGAGGAATGTGGCCATGTCCAGTGAGTTTTACCTAATTTTTCTTAAGTTTTGCAAGTTGTTTTGAGTTGCTTAAAAGAAGAGTAAAAAGAGCAAAAAACTTCAGACACCTATTTCATCGCCACAGTAAGGAGATGCATATGAACCCATATACCTTCTCTTCCTCCACTACACTGAAAACACCTTACCACATCAATATTTTTCACCTATTGTTCCAGATTTTAAAAAAATATTTTGAACTTTAGGAAGTCATTAAAGTTTCAAAATTACATTTACCAGAAGTTAAAAGTTCAATAAAATACAATAACTACAAAATATTCAATATACTGTTTTAATGAAGAGATATGGAACTTACCCCAATGGCAAAAGTCAGAAGAAACCACAAAGAGGTTACTAGGATCAGCTAGGTATTTACTGAAGAGTTTTCCAAATTCCTGCTCTTTTGACTCACTGAGTGCTCCGACCAACACAGGAATAATAGTAAACTCATCCTTATGGCTTATAAGCAAAAGAAAAAAGGATGTAATTCAAGTAACATCTGAAGATTTTTCAGGACTTGATAACTGAAACTGCAGAATGTTTTAAAAGGTCACTATTGATTTGAAGATAGAAATCTGGTGAGGTCATACTAGGACATTGTTTTAGAACCTCAAAGTACTTCAATTTCAGACAACAGCCTCCCCCTCCCCCCAAAACATTATTTATCTTTGCTGCAAAGTGAAAACAACAGGAAAACAGAAATAAGACACAGTGAAACCATGAAACCAGCAATGAAATCAGAATTAAATTCTTCCTGTATTGATGCTGCCTGTTGGGTACTTCTCCAACACATACAAAACATATATGAAAATGCTCAAGATAGTACCCAAGTGTATCCTCATACTCCAGAGAAAGTTAAAAATAATATGAAAGCTTAAAAAAAAATTCTAAAAAGATGGGGCAGGAACAAGCCCCATCAAAAATTGCTGGTTTTTATTTGAAGTACTCATCTGAAATATAAGGTGTAAATAAAACCTTGATTTCAAAATTAGTATTAAGGCTTCAAACAAACTCAAAATCCTACAGAAAACACCTATCAGTATTTGAAATTCTTTCAGACATGTTTTGTAAAAATGGGGGGGGGGGGGGGAAATCCAGATAATCAGCTACTGAGAAAGACTCATGAAATATTAACTCTATTAAGTCGTTGTAAACTTGTTTATAAGAGGTGTAACAACTTCATCATTCACGTGTTTGCTCTGCTCACAGTCTCTATTACAGCAACTTATCCGAGTCTCTGACCTTCTCTTTCCCAAAATTTTTACTGAGGGATAGGGGAGTGTAAGTATTATATACCACCTGGGTATTATACACCATAAAATGTATTATTACTTCCTACTGCACTTCACAAGTTCAAATATTAAGGCACGTAATGCTAATCCGTGTAGAAGTAATTAGCCCTAGTACCTTTCCATGGCTTTAGCAGTATAAGGCAAATGCATTTCAATACTGTGTTCATCTTCATCTGTCTGTAGGGACATACGCTCAAACATTCCAGTCTTCCACAATTCTCCATAAACTGAAATGAATTAAAGATTAATTTTTACTTTTTTTTTTTGTAAAACAAGTGCAAAAATCAAGCTACAGTGCATCTTTATCAGAACAAGCCCAATATAACAAACTACTTGCCTCCAAGGGCTGTCATCATAAACCACTTGTTTCTAAATAAATCAGGATTCAAATTATGTTCAAGTCATTCAGATACAAATATAATTCATTCAGTTGACAAAATAAGTGTGTTAAATCAGTGACCTGCATTTGCTGAATTCTTATTTTCACAAAGTACACCATCGTATGTATATAAAATAAACAACTGCTGATCAGCTAAGCATTGCTGATGTGTTACTATCTAAAACAATTTATTATTGACTGAATCATGAAATCTAGAGACAGTGAAGACTGATTAAGTAATCCACATCTACAAATTATCTTCTCTGCTCTCAAGTGCACTTGGTGGTATGCAGAGTCACCTCTACATGTTGAAAATTCTTCACTGGCTGGAGAAATTGATGTAGGGCTGTGCCTCCTTCTCTACTCCATAAAGGAGCTCTACTGAAACCCAAAGGTTTGTTAGCTGGCACATTTCCGCAGACACTATGTAGAAAGTCTGAAGTAGCTTGCTGAATCACAGTTACAACGAAAGACAATACATCTGCACTAATTAGCCCTTCTGACAAAGACTCAAAATGCACAAAAGACAAAATATCACATTTATCTTCATTGCAGCTTTAAGCTTAGGTCAAAAAAGTGGTATTACATGGGCTAACAGTTTTTATGTTCTGTAGCTACTCTGAAGGTTAAAACAAGTCACATGCAATAATGCATCCAAATACACACCTTTTTGTTTCTCTGCTACTCCTCTATCAGAAATCAAACTTAAAGCAACTATTTTTCTTTTTTTGCAGCCAAAATACTTCACAGAATAATGGAGAAGGAGTTTAGTGAGCTATACACTTTTTCATTTTTAAAACCCCTTTAAAGATCACTTGTCCAGAGCACACATTCAAAATGGAGAAGAGCAGCAAAGACTGAGAACTGTTTATTTGCAGGTGCAAGAGAGACATTACAGTTATAACATGGCAATGCCTGCAACAACCAGGACCTTCCAGGAGTTAGCTTCCATTGCAGTGAAAACAGATTTGTACTTGTATACCAATTAAAGCAATGAAGTGCCCAAACCCAAGAAAAGTCCTCAGCACCACAGTACCACACTTAATACTCAAGCCTCAGCAAGCTTTCCCATGCACTTACTCTTTTGGTCAATTCGGAGATCATACAGAGGTGTTCTATAAATGTCCACGCTGGAAAGTGCACATCGGGAAAGGGGCACGTGATGGGAAGGCCCAAGAATGAAAACTTTTCGGCTACAACAATTAACACAAAAGCCCATAATTTAGACAAGTGCAATCATACAGAGACTTGGCTTAAAGTAACGAGTTCAACAAATATGTAAAAAGCAATTCTTTCTCAATATTTCTATATTTAAATACTTATTTCTTTGTCTACAATAGCTTTACTCTGCTGTCCGTAAGACCACAGATCAATTTGAGGCCTGAACTTGGCTGGCATCTCAGAAATTATGATGAGATCAGTTCAATAATGCTTCCTGTAGCCTTAAATCTCTTAAGCAGGTTATATATCAGAGGGCACTCATCAGCTAGAAATCTGTCAGACTGGATTCATTTAGAGCTTGAATGATGTGTTACAGCCCCTTAGAACAGATTTTTGGATTCTCTCCTTGTATCAACACAACCTTCAGTGACACACCACCTGCAACAGGAATGTGACCTCAAATGAGGACTATGGATTTATCATATATACAGAGTTTTTCATTTATTTACTTGATTAGCCTAACTTCAGATTTCACCACATTAAAATTCAAGTAATTCTCACATGCTGTTTTTATCTGGCTGTTGCATCAACAACAGGGACTTGGACCTGCACATTCATAGCTTTAGCTGATACTACAACCTTTCACATGTCATCATGCTGTCATTTCATCAAGTCCTCAGTTCATGGCTCTTGTCACAGGACTTAAACGAAAAAAAGAAAAAACAAAACGCTATAGGAAATTCAAGTTTTCAGATTCAGGATTATATCACCTTGTTTCTGGCACTGAACTGAAGGGGTGGGAGTCATGTAAAGTTGTGGGGGTTTTGTTCCCTTAACACGTGGAGTGCTCTAACAAGGTATACTAAGACATTAAAAACTTTCTACAAAGCTCATAAAAAGAAAACATCCAAACATGCAATAGTTCAGCCCAAAGATGAATTCTAAACATCCCATATGGTACACCAGCAAATGATCCAGAAAGTTCAATCAACTCTATGTCACTGAACCTGGAAAATGCAACTTTTTCTAGAAATTTTAGAGGAACTAGCTATCTGTCTCACCTTAAGTTATTTCACATCATTTACAATAGTTTAGAACAAACCAAACCCATTGTCCTTAAGAGTATTGCAACACGTTATCGCAAGAACAACTGATAAACCTAGCCAGTTTTTATTTAGCATTGCAAAATACGTATTTTGAGTAGATACTGAAGAAATTTTAAATTTTTGTCATTTGAAAAAAAAAGTTGCAGTCAGCAGAACATACAGGAATGATATTCCTTTAACCTAAAGTAACTGGATTCATATTTTCAGAGGCAGGCATGGACTACAGTAGCATGTTGGGGATTTTTTTTCTTTTTCTCTTAACTTGTTAGAAAAAAAAGTCCATTTAAAATTATTGGAGTGAGTAATTTTCGCTGACTTCAAATATTATATAAACACACTGGTCACTTTCTCCACAGCAGAAGAGAATCCTGGTAGTATTCAGCCCATAACCCTGCACTGAATAACCAATGCAGAATCATGGTCAAATATTTTAATATACTTTAAAACCAAACAAAACCTCCCAACAAAAAAAACCCCAAACAACTAAAAACTAACCAAACAAACAAAAAAAAAAAGTTAAAAAAGCCAAACAAATCATCTAGGACTTTTTTATAAAAACAATGCAATGTCAGTAATAAAGTAAACTAAAGTGTTACTAACTGAAAAAAGAACATCTTTAACTAATTCCTTCTAATAAGTTATTTACCAATAGTTTTCAAAAGTTTTTGAAAATACTGCTTTACATTTTATATTTCAACAGTACTTTTATAACATGCAAACTATTTTAACATTTATTATGTTCAAACAGAAACAACATGTAAAAGACTAAAAAGAGTCCAAAATTAAAATCTGAGTACGTCAAGGTAGAAGAACATAAAAAGGACACTGAACTTATCAGAGAACTTATCAGAGAATTACAATGGCAACTTTAATACTCACGTGATATTAGGATCCACTTGTTTGTAAGCATGGGCTGCACAAGATCCACAATAGGTATATCCTGCATGGCTGCAAATCAAGGTGTACAGAATGTTAACATGCTAAATATTGCTTAACACCTGCAACACGTTGATATTGCTCTTCAGTGTTAACATTGTAAATATTTTTTTGGTCCTCAGTGAAGCTAGAAATGGTAAGAGTAATCCAAAAATCAACTCCTGAAGGAGCAGGAGAGCACCGCTGCCATATCAGCAAGATATGCGTTTGTTGAAGAACTATCAGTGACTGTTTGCTGACCAGTTAAAGAACTATCAGTGCCCATTTGACAGTAAGCAAACCTCCAGATCAAAGCACCTTTTGTTACTTGTAAAAGATACTAGTAGGCAGACTGCACAACTGCATGTTATCACGAGACTAGGAGTGCAGCCAGGGGACAAGGCCTGAGAAGCCTCTGCTGGAGAAGGCTCTTCTAACCCCACTCCAGTAACGGAATACGATAACAGCAGAGGGACCTGGCAAAGAGAGAACTGCATGTCACAGCAGATAAACAGAGAATAGATATGCTCTGTCACTGAAGAAGAAGAATGCCTCAGCAATAGAATGAATGGGCGCATGGCAAGGAGTAGAAGGCAGTGTGCTAGCTTTTACTGCAGAGAATGGGACACATGCTTCATCATTTCCTAGCCCTCTGGCCTGGGGTCTTTCTAGACCTCTGTTCCTGTGTGCACTCCAAAACCATTTATAATTATTCTGATTACTTGTTTCAAATACCCTGTTTGAATCTTTGCACCCAATCTATTCAAGACTGTTAGAAACATGTGAAGATTCAGTTTACACTGCCAAGAAAGCATTAATCCCAGAGAACATTCATTCTCAGAGTCCCAGGCCAAGTGCTGGAAAACAGCTCACACACACAGCAGCACACCTGCCCGCAGCAGGTGGCCATGCCCACAGTGCTTGGGCCACATCACCCCTCGAGCTCACCTGAAACACCTGCGACCCTACAGCAGTAGTTATTGTTTATTTTGAGTCAAGTATGTGCAACAACACAGCTACAGCTTTCCTAGTGGTCTTTTTACACAGTGGTTCTGAGAATGATACACGCTGCAAGTCCTGAGACATACAGGATGTTTGAAGATACAAGTTCCCTTTTGATAGCACTGGAGGACTGTATTTCTATGTGTGCCATGGTTTAACCCCAGCGAGCAGCCAAGTACACGCTCCCCCACCAGCAGGATGGGGAAGAGAATCGGAAGGAAAAGAGCTAGAAAATTCATGGGTTGAGATAAAAGACAGTTTAATAGGCAAACCAAAAGCCAGACACACAAGCAAAGAAAAACAAGGACTTAGTTCCCTGCTTCCCACAGGCAGGAGGTGTTTTCAGCCATCTCCAGAAAAGCAGGGCCCATCATGTGTAATGGTTACTTGGGAAGGCAAACCACTTCACTTCAAATGTTCCCCTCTTCCTCCTTCTTCCCCCCACACTATATACTGAGCATTATGTCACATGGTATGAAATATCCCTTTGGTCAGTTTGGGTCACCTGTCCCAGCTGTGTCTCCTCCCAATCTCCCATGCATCCCCAACTTCCTTGCCAGTGTGGCAGTATGAAAAACAGTAAAAGGCCTTGGCTCTGTGTAATCTCTGCTCAGCAGTTCCCCTCTTCCTCCTTCTTCCCCCCACACTATATACTGAGCATTATGTCACATGGTATGAAATATCCCTTTGGTCAGTTTGGGTCACCTGTCCCAGCTGTGTCTCCTCCCAATCTCCCATGCATCCCCAACTTCCTTGCCAGTGTGGCAGTATGAAAAACAGTAAAAGGCCTTGGCTCTGTGTAATCTCTGCTCAGCAGTAAGGCAAACATCTCTGTATCATCAACCCTGTGTTCTGCACAAATCCAAAACATAACTCCATACTAGCCACTGGGAAGAAAGTTAACTCTTCTTCAGCCCAAACCAGCACATTGTGGGTATGTCCACACACAACTATATTCATCCAGAGTGATACCTGGAGCAAGTTATCCTCAAGATGACCTGGGATTTTACTTCAACATCACTTACCTCAATCATGCTAAAGAGCCCAGACAGGTACTGACATACATGCTAATGGGAGAAAGAAAAGACCTTGCAAAGTGGCAAGGTATGTTATCTGACAAGGTTAGATAAGAGCCTGCCTAAAGGTTCCCTCTGCTACAGGTTTCTTCAGTCTTGCCTCAAAATGTTAATAGCCTATCCCACTTTACAGGTGGGAAAATAAAGGCATGGTTAATGATAAAGTTTGGTGAGATCACAGGAATACCTCCAGTGGCTCTGGAGAAAGAACCCAGGTTACATAATCTCCAGCTGAAAGGTCTCTTTCCTGACATTCCTGAGAGAAAGACTAAGGCAGATGTAGGATAATTTCTTCTGCACATCAATACTATTATGGAATACTTCAACCATTATGTCAACACTATGTTAGTACAGGAAAAACATCATATTTATGGTGCTTTTTCTACTGTTCCCTTCCAGCTCATCGTAAGTTGGAATGGCCAACATACTTTTCTCGTTACATGTCTCAGCTATCTTCAGGAAACTGAATTCTTCCTGAATAGTTCAGATGATTCCTATTTCAGCTGTGGACAAAACTCCAAACAAAACCAAAGGAAAATAACAAAAGTAAACCATTTTGGATAGCTGAATAGTGTTTCATGACCTTTTGTTTTAAGCTTTTGCTAAGTTTTTATTTTGGGGGGAATGCTGGAGTTTTGCTTGGTTTGTTGTGGGGTTTATTTTCTGTGGGATGAGTGTTGTTTTATTTTGGTTTTTTCCTAATAGGTGCAGCTGTCCTACACTAGCAGTGCACTGAAAGAGCTGCCACCTTTGATTAGCACTGCACTAATAAACCTCTTACCAGTCTGACGATCACAGATGAATGTTAATTCTGCAATCCATCAGTAAAAGGAAAGTGATAATGCATCAAGATCTGCACAGATTTCTTCCATTCTATACCATATCCAAAATACTTGTTTAGAAACCACACACCATTCCCTTCAGCTAGCTTTTACCAGTTTTCAAAATCACTCAAAACAAACAACAACAAAAAAGTAGGATTTAACCATCAATTATTACATATACTAAAACCAGATTTCATACTTACGGTGCAATAATGGCTCTAGCAGGTCTTTTTGTGGACTGTACTTGAGAAAGCCAACCTTCTAGTTGTGCATTCAGCTGGGGTCCTGTGAAGAGACAAGGAAATACTGAAACCATAAAAGAAGCTAAAATACCTCAAGAATTAACAAAGAAAGTTGTAAAGTCCAGCAGATTTACAAGTCATCTTAAAGGCTGGGTTTAAATCTAAAAACAAACAGAAAAAACAACCTCCCAAAAAAATCCAACACAACAACAACAAAAAAAAATCCCCAAGCCTGTAATGTTAAAAGTACAGTAGGAAAGTTTCAACTTCCTAGTGCAGGAATAACATTTATTGCACATCCAAACACACACTTAACTGTTTCTTGCTCTGTGGGGACTAATGAACATGCCATTTCACCATTAGAAAGGATGGCTGACGATTTCAAAAGAGAGGCTAACACATGACCGACTCCACTGGCAACTGCACTTGCAAAATTCAGGAGTAAAAAGTTAAGATGATCTATACCAAGAGAGCCTAATATGAGAAGATGATATAATACAAAGACCTTTCATACTGACACGATAGCCATTGGCTATGGCAATAAGTTCTTCATTATTTTCAAGCAAGCATAAGAGCAGAACACAAAACACACTGTAGCCTGGAAAATTCTGTACCTCAAGAAGTGGCAAATATTCTCAATTCAATCAGCTGACAGGTGATAAAAATGCCTTCTAGAAAAACAACAAAAAAAAACCAACCCAAAAAGAAACCCCAAAACTCAATCACATTGATTATTTCCCATCACAAGAAAACTTTCTGATGTAAAGCTACTCCTGAAGAAGCAAATCAGGCAAATACAGTGCAACATCTTATATTAAAGAACACAAAAGTTTCGAGTAAAATTCATTCAGCTGCTATTGTTACCAGTAACATACCTTTAGCAAAGAGAAAATAGATGCACTTTTTTCAGCTGATGCTATGCTTTTGACAGAACTATGTCAGCAGAGTTTATCTGTAAAGTGTGGTGCAGTAAGCTGCTTTTCTTCTACCATGCACATCGTAGATTCTTCTATCTTCCCCATGCAGGTGTGTTAAACCACCAACCACCAGGAAAAGTCAAAACCAAATTAAATATCCAAAACTATTTCACAGCTATGGTCCAAACAGCCCCAAGCTCAAGCTGACAGCCCCCCAAAAGGCTGACAAGAACTACAGAGAGCTGGAGCAAAGATGTCAACTTCTGCAGAATCCAATCAGTCGCTCATAAGCGACAGCCAAAAGGCTTTCTCTAGAAAACCCGAGGGTGAAGGATGAGGGTGTCAAAGCCACTGGTTTTTATACAAAGCTTAAATTCATGTGTTTCTTGAAAAAAGACAGGCTCTGTTGTTATGAAGAGCCCTACCTTCTTACATGAAGAAGGTGAACTAGTGCAACACCAGTTCCCTAAGTCTACAATCACCTTTAATGCCTTAGTTACTGTCTACAGCTCTAACAAGGCAAACAAGTGACACTGATTAGCCACTGTCACTCCTGTAACACCGTGACTTTGTGAAATAATTAAATGGTTATAAAAAACCACCACACACCAGTTCTGTTCTGCTGCTTCTGTTGCTTGGGGAAATTACAAGCATCAGAGACATGCAACAGAGATAAGAATAATGACATCTCAGAAAATGGAGGTTGTTGGGGAAGCTAACTAAAAATAAACAGGTCTCTATCTCTATCCTCTTTCTAAGCTACTAGGAGACAAATAGAACAGTACTCTTTTACAGTACTACCACTTGTATTTGCTATATACTCAACCTGAAGACACAAATCACTTTTTGAAAAAATTGACTTCCTAAGTCTCCCAATGTGGAAAGATTAAGTAATTTCTGAGTGAAACTCTTTAGGAGGACACAATTTTATTTTTTCTAACACCTACTACCCAGACTTAAACAAAACATTATTCTGTCCCACCTGACCCCTTCTCCTCAAAGAAGAGGATCCACAGGCAGCACAGGCCCAGAACGTGTCAAGCAAAAGGGGACTCTGTCCCCCAACAAGGCTCTGTGCTTGGCCTTCCTCCAGCCCTTCTTTAGCAAGGATTTTTGATTAAGGAGGTGGTTAAGAC